TGTCTCTTTAATTATCTTATTCCGTCCATGTAGTGGGCATCTTATTGAAACCCAAAAGTGTCTTATGTAAATCTATATGAATAAGAACATCTCTTATCTTTACTTGCCAAAGTGGAAACCTAGTATTTCGATCCAACAACAGAATATTGTATTTCATCGAAGAAATGATTAATCAGTTGTGAAAATAATCCGAACAAACTAATATTAAACACTGAAGCTTTGAAACTAATTGCAGTAAACAAAGAGGGTAAGGATGCAATAAAACGAAAAAACCTTAATAAATCAAACAACCCAAAAATCCGAATCACAAGAATAATACTAGCTCAAGCGGAATAGGACTAAAAATATAAAACCACAATCAACCACATGCACTGAAAAATACTAAGAAAAGTAGTAAATCTGAGAGACATAGAGATTTACATGGAAACGCCAAATCAGGAAAAAATCATGGGCGAAGGAAGCCAAGAACCAATCGACTAAAATAGTGTAGTGTTTACAGAGCTTGATCAAAGAGATTACAATGAACAATAACGATTTGGTGATAAAGGGTTGAGCCCTATAAGTGTCGCTCAAAAGGGGGGAGAAAAGAACTCTATCAATTTTGTCTTATAAAACCTTTCTTCTATTTTTTTCTCCATTCAATTGAAGCTACAAAGGGGAAAATGTTTTCCAGATTTGGCAAATTTGGCCTTTCAACAATGCATCATTGACACATCAGAAAATAGTCTATTTTAGAGATAATAACCCAGTATAAGGCATGAATTCCATTTTAGACCAGATTATTCCAAATTAAACATGAAGTCTAATTTAGACCAAATTAACCCATTTTAGACCTTATTAGTTGGGAAGAGAAAATAGCCCTTATAAGGCATACTTCCATAATTTATACAACAAAATGTAGTTGATGTAAATAATCACAAGACTAAACTGAAAATCTTTTATTAATAATGCATTTTTTCTAACAGAAATCTTAATAAATTTATGGTTACAAAAAAATTATTGAGACCTGTGCTTACCCTAATGTCTTTAACACTTTATTCTCGAGTTCAACATAAAGAGGAAAATATAGGAGAAGTGAAGATAACCAGAAAGAAGAGAGAAATTATTTTGTTCCTGATATTATTTTGGACATAATTAGAAAGAAGAGAAAAGAAGATAAAAGATGATATTCTCTCATAATCTTTCTCCCAAATTGGATGGGTTTGGAGGGAAGTAAGCTTAATCAAATTATTAAAGTCTAATCCCTTATTTCCTTTCTTTCTAACTCATAGACACCAAAAATACACTTTCCTTTCACTTCCATGGATTTGTTTTCTCTCCATATCTTCATTCCCATTTGTGTGCTCTTTACATTCAACTTAGGAACTAGGTGTAAATGAAACAATAAATTAAAACTTAGTATGAAATGTGTTTATCACAATCTCATTAAAACAAAATTGTTGGAAATCGGACGTTTGTTTTCTAGGATATAATAGCTAAAAATAGTTCTTCGAGACCGCTTGAAACTAACGAAACCAAGATTTTACATTTATAGCAGCATGAAAAGAAGTTAAGTATTAGAAAGATTAATTCTATTTCTTATTTTGTAAATCTATTACACATGAGTTGTATTTATACAACAAAATGTAAACGACAAAATTAATCACAATATTAGAACAAAAAATTTATGATTAATGTATCTTTAATGCATGTTTTGTGAATGAAATTTTAACAAATATACAATTACGAAAAATAAATATTTACTATAAAAAGACGCTGAATGTTTTTCAGCCGATCAATGATACATTAGTTTCTACAACACGACGCTCACACACAAGTTTAGTGAACCAAATATATCGGCGTGCACACACAAGTTTAGCAAACCAAATATATTTTGGTTCGCATTTACACCCTTATGCATGAAAGATACAACCTTGATGCTATAAGTTTTACTGGGCTTAAGAAGGCTTTCTACTTAAATACAAACTTCTTTTTCATTCCCACGTTTATGTGAGATGACTTAAACCCATTAATGCTATTTATCTAATTCATAAAAATACTTGATTTTAAAGATTAATTTGTCATTAATTTTAATTTCATTTTGGATGTATAATATATCAAAATGAAAGTATTGAATATGAGAGCACAAATATATATTTCTATAATGAATCGAATTCATAATTTGTGTACAAAATAGAAAAACCACATTTTTGGAAAATTGCTAAACCTAATTTTTCCAAATTTCACCAACATAAATGAAAATTGATTTAATATTTTCAAGTTTTCCATATAAAATCCAAAATTTGAACCTTACATAAGATAAGTAGGTGTTACCATTTGATCATTCTCTTAGAGAGACATGTTTATTTTACTAATGGATTAGTAGACTCATTGTCTTTGAATTGTTATATCGTTCGCAAAACTAATCAATATGTAGTGATATTTTCGTTGTTATGTTCATTATGCTCATGAAATTATGCCATTGACAGTTCCTTTTGAATCGAGCTTACTTCTCTTTCTCTCTCTCATATATATATATATATATATATATATATATATATATATATATATATATATATATATATATATATATATATATATATATATTACATTACAAAATTACAATATCCAAAATTTGATAGAAGTGTAACAACTCATTAGTCATTATTTGGTTTACATTTATGAATTCTTTCTTGGTTTATCAATTTAACCCCAAACATATTGTTTTTCCTCATAATTTGATATTCTTTCTTAGTTTAAATTGGATAGAAGCATCATAACCCAAATCGAAACAAATCTATATGGGGAGAAATCACAACTTATAATGGAGGTTATTACTGCATTTTGCGGATGAGGAACTATAACACACAAACGAACAAACAAACACACACACACACACACAGAGAGAGAGAGAGAGAGAGAGAGAGAGAGAGAGAGAGAGAGAGAGAGAGAGAGAGAGAGAGAGCTTTTTTCTTATTGTTCATCAAAGGTTATCCGTGAAACATTGAGAATGAACATGAAGATATGAAGGAACAAGGTTTACAATATATTCAACAATATTGCATAAGTACTTATAACTTAGATTATTTGATTTGCCCTTCATACTATAAATTTTGGTAGAAAATAGAGAAAAACCGACCTATAACTTTTATGCGATCTCCAAATTTTAATTATTTTTGTAAAAAATTGCAATTATATCGGTGATTTTAAAATATTGGATTTTATAGCTACATATTGTGATTTTACTTAAAAAAAACCCTTAATTCCCTCCCTTCTCTTCCCATTTGGATTTTCTAGCTACGGTAATTATATAAATTTCAAAAGGATCTGTCCTCAAGAATTAAATATTATTAAATGCTCAGAACGAACAATAAAAAAAGACCGTTATCTTTATCATAAATCTTTTATTTTTAAATGAAAATATATAATGAATAAAATTGAGCCTGTGCAGCCCACTTTGCCCCTCAACACCTCCATGAATTTCAAGGATATTTTAAACTAACATGCTAAAAATATTATTTTAAAGTTTATTAGGTCTAAAACTTTTAAGATAACATTGTTTGCATATTGTTCTAAATTATTTCATATATATATATATATATATATATATATATATATATATATATATATATATATATATATTATTCTAGTTTAAAATAATACCTGTCACTGAGTATATTATATTTATTTGGAAATTGTCATATTAGCTCATCTAGTCATGGTAATGACTAATATACACCCACAAACTATAAATTAAAAAAAAATTAAAATTTTATGTAGCTTATGTCATGATCCAGATTAATAATATAAATGTTCTATTATGCTAATTAATAATATAACTAATTCGGAAAAGCATAGTATATAAAATAAGTTCTCTTTATTTTAAAATAAATCTGAGATCGAACGAGTCGAGAATAGAGGTGACGCTGTCGGTGATTATCTGAGTCCTTGCGAGACAATCCATCATTGTAACATCGCTATCACATAGGGTTTCCACGATGTTTTAGTTAAACCACGTTGTGTTCTAATTTCGCTTGTAAATCAAATTTTGTTGTGTTCTCATTTCGCTTATTGGTTGATTGGAATTTGATGGTGGAGTACAACGGTGAAGAGAGATCGTATCTTACATGCAACTCGCAAATTGACAAAGGTGTAGAGTTCGAAACCTAAATCAGGAGTGAGTGACAGTGGTTAGACCACAAGAGCATCATTGGGTCGTCAAATGTAGTAACATAGACAATGTAGGGATCGATGGATGTTGTGCTAGGTGATGTTGGGCAGAGCTCCGGAGATGATGGGGAATAGAATGGCACATGTCATTGAAAGAAGCAAAATTGGGAGGAAAAAACACAAGCAGCCGGCTTATGAACAGTAATGTACATAAGTATATATATATATATATATATATATATATATATATATATATATATATATATATATATATATATACTCAGGATGTTTTGCGAACCTATATTTTAATACGAACCACTCTTTAAAATGCAAACATTTTTGTGTGATTTTTTTCATAAAAAAGTAATATAAAACATCAAATCTGTCCTATATAAACAAATCCTAGCCATTTATTTTTTCAATCTTAAGGTTAAAAATTATTCTCGCGGTTCCTATCTTTTTTGAGTTCCTATCTAATCGTACTTTTATATATATATATATATATATATATATATATATATATTATATATATATATATATATATATAAAGGTTATAACACATGAAAACCAACATCAATATATTTTAAACAATGTATATATATATATATATATATATATATATATATATATATATATATAAATATAGTAGTTATAATCATATTTATATATACTAATTAAGAAGTACTAGATGAACAGGTGTTGATTCCTATTGGACCACTTCTTTAATTTCTTTTTTATTTTTTTCTTCAAACAATGATATTGTTCATTATGTACACCTGTTGTCTTCTCTTTCTTGCGTCTCCACCGCTTCATTAAAAAAAAACACGGTGTTTAAATGTGTTGGACACAACATGTTAATCTATCACCGCCACCACAACCAATCATTTTCTTCCAAATACCCGATTTCAGTTGATAATCTCGATCATTCTGCCAAGTCACCCATTCTTTGGTTAAGCCCTAAATACATTCCACCGCCTATTGCTTGGTATTCCTCCTCAATCAAACTCAAAGTCGCCGGTGTCGTAGAAATAGAATCCTCCACCGCCAGGTCGCCACCTCCAAAGGGTTCTGGTTCGTCTCCGTCACCTCCTACCACCATCACTTTTGATTTTGGATTTTCAATTGTCAGTATTTGTGTGCTCTGCTTCAATATGTTTTGCTGCTTCAATTCATCGTCTTCTCTCGATTTTGTATCAGGGTCTCCATTGTGTATCCGTAATCGACCTCAAAACTCCAACGTCGATCTTCCGATTTTTCGATATTCAGCTCTCCATCCCATCGTCGGTCTTCAGATTTATGATTTTATTGTTGGTGTTATTGTCTTCGGTTTGATGGGCACAAGTCTCTTTTAGATGTCTTCCACTGTACTGTTTATTTTTTCATCTTTAACTTCTATAAGTTATTTGCAAATTTTTTGGTCGCTGTTGTTTGTCGTCGGACCTCGGAAGGACATAAAAAAGCAATACATATTGAAACTATACACTTCTATTATCCTTGCACACCAACTGTTTGATTTTATGCTGATTATAATTTTTGGTTTAGATTTCTGCTTATGCATATGCTTTGTATTGGTTAAATACAGACTATGTGTTTGATTATTATATTGCTACCTACTACAACAAATAACCTAATTTGATCACTTTTGGTTGTAGAAGATGTTTTCCATTTTTGACTGTTATTGTCCTACAAACCACAGACAAGGTAATCACATCGGTTGGAATCTTGCTGCTCTTTGTTCTTAAATGTTTAGTTTTTATAAATTCTTAGTTTTTATACTATTTCCCCAAAAAGGTATAAAGAATCTCGACATTTTTTTCATGTGCTCACCTGTTCATGCAGCCATGGCCATAGAAGCTCGAGTAAGGGAGATTGCAATTCAAGATACGAAGTACTTTCCTGAAGCATCTCAGTTGCAGAAATATTTACGTCTCATGATTTGTAATTTTGTTGTCATGAATACAGGAAAACAGGTGGATTTTTTTAACTCTCATTCAAATTTTCAAAATCAAATCTTTTTTTTTTTTTTTTTTTTTTTTTTTTTTTTTTATAAATTCTTTTTGAGAATGTCTATTTTTTTAATGATATTGAAAAGATGCTACGGAAAACAAAAGATAGATTGTGTTAATTTTTATCAACAATATATTGCCATCAATAGTGGTTAACAGAGGGGGTTTACCTCACTGCTATAGATATGTTTCCTACCACTGGATTGAACGTTGGTTCAAGGGTTATAGCTATCAAAAGTGACTCTCAAAAGGCACTTTCGAAGAATGAATATGTAAATAAAAATGAATATTTTAATCGCCTTTTACACTTTCTCTTACTGTTTTCAATAGATTTTGACAATTTCAGCGTTTTTCTGTCCTACAGATTGTCATACCATTCACGTAACAATTTGTATTTGGTCCCTTAACTCCCCATGTTCATCTACTCTTAATTCTTGGAATTCATGTCCTTCACAAATTGTTTATTAATAGGGTTTCTCCTAATGTGAGACCGAGTAGATGAAATGATTAACATATAAGACTTTAGGTATGCAAGTAATTACGCAAATCAAAAATTCGATAATTTATGACCATTTTCCCCTCCACAGTCCATCATTTAGACAGGTTAAATGAAGTAATTTCTTTTTCAATACTTCATCATAGTGCGTCAGTTTGTGAATGATATGTAGATAACTTTATCATGAATGGTGGGGGGGGGTATTTTTATCTGCTAATCTTCTTCTTTTTTTGTGTTTTATGAACTTTGTCTATGGTTCAGGTTGATGAAGATGGTGGTCTGATTGAATTGGTGATGAATGCTATAATCAATAAGTTGGTGGTTTATTGACAACAGGTGGAGGAGTATTATGGAAGACACAATGACTCTAGGAGTCGAAGCACTGGCCTGGATGGATAATCTGGTATGTGAAATTACTAGGTGTCCTATTTGTATTCCAAATACTAAAAAAAAAAGTCTTTTTATCACTTAAAAAATTTGTTTACTCAAAAAAGAAAAAATTTTAATTGCCAGAAAATCTAAAATAGACTTATGATTAATAAAAAAATTGAAAAAAAAACTAATTTATATTGAAGTTATGAATTTTTTAAAATATTATTTTCATTCAAGATTATATAAATATATTAATTATTTATAGTTTGTAATTGAATGGTATCAGGGCGTTCGATAAACTCAATGGCGATCAACTTTTTTTATTGATGAGCTGGTGGGAAGGGTAAAATTGTCCGAATGCTGAGAAAACCAACTATAAACCTCTACATTCCTTAAGATCAAAGTAGGATGTCTTAATTTGACCATTTGAGAAGTACAATGCAATATTTTAGTTTCAGATTTTTTTTTTAAAACAAATTTGTTTAGTATTCTAAAGTTTATTGTTATTATTATAGTAATAAACTATTCAAAAGGGGAAAATTCATTGTCATTTTAGGTCCACATTCAATATCTAGAAATGTGAAAAAAGGGAAAGCTATGGTGTATCCAACCCCGCAAAGCGGGGTCCTTCCCTAGTTTTTTCTAAAAATAAATGTTTAAAATACACGTCTACCTTTAAAAAAAATGACTTTTCGTTTCCATGATCCCTCGATGAGTATGTAATTTTCGTAAATGACGTAGAGGTACCTTATGTTTTATTTTGTGTTAAACCACCCTAGTTTCAATTTATTCGTTAATAGATATTAGGATTGGAACTTGGAAGTATAATAAAGCACGTCATGCAAACATTATTAAAAAAGCATATTAGTCATTCAATCACTTTGACCAACTTTTGCCCTTCAAAATTTTAATATTAAGAACCACATACCACGTTTAAAAATAACAATTAGATAACATTTTACAACTTCATTCTTCATGAACCAAATTGATACAAAAATAAGGAGTTAATGGTAAGATGTTAATTTTCCTTAAAATAAATGTTCTATGTTGAAGCCCTTGGGATAAGATATACTAATAATAGTGCCTACTAACGTAACTCTGACTTCAACAAAGTCAAAGATCCTTTTTGAATAAAAAGATTATTATACTTAAAGGTTCCACAATGCAAGTAGTATAAAAGTTGAATAGGATGATGACTATGATTGAATAAGAGTTGAATGGAGTGTGGATGATGATATGAAGTATAGTTGAATGGAGGAGTTGAATGATTATAAAATGGTTCAATAGAAGAAATAAAGTGGTAATTAAGATTGAATATGTGTTTAATGGGTTATGAGTGTTGTGTATAGATGTTTAATAGATGATGTGGTAATTCATTGAACTCTATGGAGTTCAATAGGTTATGTATGCCCTTAACATGATAGGATTTAAACACTCATGAGTACTCATTATCTACTCGGTGATAAATCAACTTAATGAGTAGGGTATTCCTAACAAAATTTAACTACTTTGGGAAGAATACTGTCCTCGGTCTGTAAAGATAAAATCACGTTACTTACCGATCGGTAGATTATTAGTTGTTGTAATCAATAAAAGATAAAGTCAATATGATTCATGATACAATTTCATTTTGATTAAAAAAACGTATTAGAATGGAAATGATGGAATCTATCTACCTGAATTGAATGAGATCCGAGTAACTTTACATCATCGGAAGTAGAGCACCAAGAAGGAAAATCCCCAAGAAGATACAACTTCACCTTTTTCTCAGATACACCCTAATTGTTGAAATTAATGAACAAAATTTGGATAGTATCAACTACCTATTTCTCCAAACACCTTGAGGGATCCAAGAAAGTTGACATTGCAATGAGGTTAAAAGCATTAATATGTGTAGGCCATTGCTTTGATCTTTTTCTGAATCATTTGGCTGTAAAAAAACGATCAATGAAATATATACTATTAAGAAAATGTTGTAACAAATATGCAAATCATTAGAAGAAAAAACAAAAACCTTTTCGATCACTTTAGGAGGAAATTTATAGATTCTTCTTCAAGTATAGCTTCAGAAAATCTGGTACCATGTACACTTGGATACGTCCCCAAATATATGAACAATTCATCAATAAAGTATTAGTACCTATGAAAATCTAGAAAGCTAGAATTCAAAAAAATTGAAGCAGTCATAGTTGTTTTGTATTAGAAACGTACATACACAAAATTTCAGAAGAAAATCTACTTGAGAGATAACTTTGGGTCTCAATCTGCAACTGTCAACGAAACTTCATATATTAACATGGATCAACAAAACTTTTGATAAAAACATAAACTAAAAAATATGAAATCGAAACAAAATGTAACATTTCGTTTAAAATAAATAAATAAAATTAAATGAATATATAAATAAAATAAATGAATAAATAATAGCCCTAAAACCCCAAGATGTATTTTATATTTTATATAATTTTAGCCATAAATTTATAACAGTTGATCAGTGTTAGCCATGAGAGTTAAATGATATAATTTCCAGAATTTGTAGTGTATATTGTAACATTCCAAAATTGAAGCCCGAAAATTTCATTTTTGAATTAATAAGTTAATAAACATTTTACCAAAATATGGTCAAATAAACAACACGTTTCAAAATCATAACGTTGTGTTCCAAAACTATGACATCAAAGAAATGAAAATCAGAGTACAATCCTAGAAACTCAATGCGGAAACCATGTGTGTGTGTGATGCGCTGCTACACCGCCGACTCCTTCCCCTTCAACGAAGAGGTACCTGAAACCAAAACCAAAACTGTAACCACAAAGCTTAGTGAGTTCCCCCATCATATCGCATACTATACAGTATCGTTGGTATCTTTCAACCGGTAATCTTCATCGGTATCTTTCAACCAGTAATCATCATCGGTATCTTTCAACCGGTAACCGTCATCGGTATCTTTCAACCGGTATATGGGGGCTATTTCACCCCCTACTACTAGTATATAACAATAGATATAAGCATGCAATCAAGTATATCCGGGTACTAACTAACCCTTTGGTCCTAAGGACCACTGTCAGGGAAACTAATCCCTACTATACACATAACATATCATACAGATAAATCTCATGACCAAAGCACATAACCAGACCAAGATAATTATCACAAAGACAATCATATTCTAAATACCCCTTTTTAGTGGGCCGACATTGTGGCCTTAGACCCACCCCTACTGGAAGGTAACTCACCTCAATGTCGTGCAGTGTTTGAATTATCCTCGGCGTACAAGTCGACTCCCTTCGTATCCTCGATCCCTACACGACAACCTTCAAGTCAACACACAACACGTGCAACGCTAAACAGGGTTAGTCCAAGTCTAGTCAAAGTCAACTTCAAGTTGACCCGACTCGCCGAGTTGGGCCGTCAACTCGTCGAGTCCCTAACCCTTTACTCATCCTTATCTATGACTCGACTCGTCGAGTTTGGCATCGAATCGACGAGTTCCTCTCGCATATGAACATCGTATGAACCTCATCCGACTCGCCGAGTTGTATGAACACTCGTCGAGTCCACCTTCATCTGATAAACAAGTCTTGTATGAACAACTCATCGAGTTCATCTCCAATCTTAAGGAGATTGCCTTGGACTTGCCGAGTCTGTTCTAGCACTCGTCGAGTCCCATGAACTTCAGGTCTAAAATTACGTCCCATGCGTTGGGTCACTCTTTATGTCTGACTACAACCCTTCTAACACTCAACTGAGTTCTTTGACCCTCAACAGATTTGGGACTCAAAGCCTTGGACTCGTCGAGTCCCAGGAACGGACTCACCGAGTCGGTCATGTCCACACTCTAAATCCTCGATTTCTAATGTACAAACTTTGATCAAAAGATAGATCCAAGCTTCTACAATTGATCTAGCACGTAAAGTTACAAACTTTACGTGCTTGCATGCGACTTTGAGCTCAAAAGACATAAAACAAGCTCTTAAGATGAATGGGACCCTTCATGGGTGCAAAAGCAGCCCCTAAATGCCTTGAGACTCCCTTAATGACTTGATTTAGAAGCCCCAACCCCCAACCATGTTTGCAATCATGGTTGGTCATCAAAAATGGCTTATAAAAGCCCTAAATCTCCCCAAAGAGTGATCTAATAAATGAAAGATCAAGGTTACAACTTTTTACCTTCAATGAACTGTAGAAGGTGCACAAACTCGGGTTCCCTTGGTCTATACTCGCTTCCTTAAGCTTTTCTCCTTCCTTCTTAAGACGACAAGCACCAAAATCCATCAACAAGGCTTAGATTGCTTCAATAACGGCTAGGGTTTCAATGAGAGGTGTTCTGGGAGCACAAGGGACGTTGTGGCCGACATAACATTGTTTAAATAGGGTGAAAACCCTCATATTAGGGTTTTTGTCTAGACAGGGTCTACTCGTCGAGTCCGGGACCCGACTCGCCGGGTTCATCGCTTAAATCCTGTGTCCCATCCCGCTTCTACTCTGCGAGTTGGTCCTTCTACTCGCCGAGTCCAAGGCCAAAAATGCAAAATACTTAGATAAAAATAAAAAGAAATACGTACCAAGAACCAAGTGCTACATATATTGTAACATTAGGACTTCTAATGTACATGAATTCGGGTAGAAAGGGTTGTTCGGTAAATATTGGATTTAAATTGAAATGGATTTGTGGAGACAGGAAGCAATCTTGTACAAATAGAATAAAGTTTAAGTGGGATATATGATTTAAACCTAATGCTCCTCCCCCTCTTTTCCTTAATGCGAAACCCTAAATCTAAAAGTCAACAGCAACCCTTATATCTCCCATCTCCAGCCACCGCCATCCCCTTTCGTTGAACCACCACCACTGCCGCATTTGCTGCCATAGAAGCCACGCGAAGCGGACGTCAAGGTTATTGTTGTTTTCATCCTCGGTCACACCTGCTCTCCCAAGTTTCTTTTACTATGCATCGCTGCAGCTAGCACCACCACTGCCTTCTCGTCATCCCCCCGAGAGTGTTGGAATAGTGTCTAAGGCTATAACTATATTCGGTTGTGCATGGTCCTTTTGGGTTGCCTTCACCATAGCAACTTGAAGGATGATTTATTAAGAGAGAGTAAATATTATAAGGAATAATATTTGGCTATTTGATTAATATAAGTCATAAATTAATTGGTATTAATTTGGTGACTTACAGAGATTAATTAAATAAGAGGGTATAAACTGTCAATTGTTTGATAGTTAGACTTTAGACTATAAATCCATTAGGATATACCTTGGACGGATTCTAAGAGCTTTAGGATAGCTCAAATCGTCCATAGGGTTATCTATGGAATGGATTTGGATAGCCTTAAGAGAAGATTATCCAATTAGGGTTTAGGGTGAAACCCTTAAGGAGTCTAATAGTATAAATAGCCCTATGGTGGGAATTCGACACACAACCTTAAGCAAGGAACCTCTGGTCGAATTCCTCCCC